CTTAAACTCACACCGGGCATATGTATGTGCATGTCCAATATTCCAAGAGGAGAATGGAGGAGAAGAGATTGTGGCATAGCCGTCCCTCCGGGGGTGATTTCTCGCTTTCTGTCTCTCTGTTTCTCTCTCTGTCTTTCTGGCAAGTGCATGCTCCCTGTAGCAAAAACCTCTCCAAGAAAAAACAAACAAACAAAAAAAAAAACTTCAACCAAGTTGAAGTGCTAATATTTCTAGTATTATTTTTAAAATGATAATATTTTTAGTAATATTTTAAAGTGTTCATATTTATAGTCATGTTTTCCTAAATAAAAAGCTTAGCTGGTCATTTTATGATTTTCCTTACCAATTACACCCCCATGCCAAAATAACTGTTTTTTTAATTATATATGTATATCAATTAAGGTAATCATCTTTTACTCATAATTTTATTCATGATATTATGAAAAAGCAAATAGCCTTTTCCAAACCCTCATCCCCAAGTAACTATTACAGCTATGGAAAGTTTCCACTTACTAATTACTATATGCCAGAAAATGGACTGGGTGATTTATATGTGACATCTTATTTAAAACTCATAAGGACCTTGCAAACTCTGCGTCATTTGCTTCATTTCCCATGTGAAGAAGATGAGATTCACAAAGCTACCTCATGGCCTCCAAGTCACCAAGCTGTTTACATGAAGAAGAAAAAAACTTCAACCAAGTTGAAGTGCTAATATTTCTAGTATTATTTTTAAAATGATAATATTTTTAGTAATATTTTAAAGTGTTCATATTTATAGTCATGTTTTCCTAAATAAAAAGCTTAGCTGGTCATTTTATGATTTTCCTTACCAATTACACCCCCATGCCAAAATAACTGTTTTTTTAATTATATATGTATATCAATTAAGGTAATCATCTTTTACTCATAATTTTATTCATGATATTATGAAAAAGCAAATAGCCTTTTCCAAACCCTCATCCCCAAGTAACTATTACAGCTATGGAAAGTTTCCACTTACTAATTACTATATGCCAGAAAATGGACTGGGTGATTTATATGTGACATCTTATTTAAAACTCATAAGGACCTTGCAAACTCTGCGTCATTTGCTTCATTTCCCATGTGAAGAAGATGAGATTCACAAAGCTACCTCATGGCCTCCAAGTCACCAAGCTGTTTACATGAAGAAGCAGGATTAGAACCTAGGATTGATCCTTCATTCCTTCCTTCCTGCCTGCCTGCCTTCCATGTCGAAGTCCTTGTTTATAATATTGCCATCACTCCGAATGGCTAATCAGCAGTGTAAAAACTCGAGATTCTTATCTTTGCTTTAAAAAAACATTCCCTGCAATTATACATGTCATCATCATGGAACTTCTGTGACAGAAACAGCTTGATTAGTTCTTTTACATTCTAAACAAATCATTTTGAGCTTCTATTCAGAAATGAAAATTGATTTAGAAAGCTACACACCCTTGATTGACACAGAAACAGTAGGGCATCTACAACGCTCTAAGGAAGAGAAGAGTAGAAAATGGTCCATGTGGTTATCCAGTTGGCATGTAACACCACTCTTGGAGCCAGAGCAGAGTGGAAAAGCATCTGTCATCAAATGTTACAGAGGGCACTGCCCTAGTTAAACTTGTGAACTGGGACACTCGAGTCTGAGAAATTCAGGGCTTTTATTTTCAGCACATGTCCCTAATCGTTCCTGTTCAAAAATGAAGGCCATTTCTTGACTCCAAATGTGCCACTTACCCTTAACACATAATCTATAACTTTTACCCAACCACTAGACACAGAAGTGAAAAGTGTTACATTTTCAGATATGAGAAGTAGAAAGAATTTGAGAAAAAAAGGAAAGGGGAAAAATTTGCTGGTTTCTATCAAACCAGAAAAATGTATTTTTAGTTGTATATCTTGAATGTATTTTATCATTTATTCTGTAACACACTGTACTGGCCAAAAATAAATCTTAAAATTTATTTAAAAATTTGAGGGAACCAGCAGTTAGCGTAATAGCTATGTCGCTGGACTCCCACGTAGTCGACCACGGTTCGCATCCCAGATCCGGTGGCTTAAAACCCACGCCAGGCGCGTGTGCGTGCGTGCCCAAGATCCCGAGAGGAGAATGGAGGAGAAGGGATTGCGGTGTGGCCATCCCCTCTGGGGGGTGATTTCCCGCTTTCGGTCTCTCTGTCTCTCTCTGTCTGTCTGGCGAGCACATGCGCCCTATAGTGAAAAACCTCTCAAAAAAATTTTTATTTAAAAATTCGAAAAGAAAAATATCTCCATTCTACACAAATCCATATAATGTGCGACTTCTTGGCATGGAGGAAGAAAATTATATTTTGTGCAATTTTTCTAATAAGATCTAGATCTGGATCATTTATTTCAATGAGGATTCAGAAGTGGACCCAGGAGTCATGCAGATACCGCTTTATTCTCTCAAACATGTTGAATTCTTCTATCTTATTATTGCATTATTTTTCCTGTCAGGTAAAGCCCATTGGCCCTGTCTAGGATTGGCCAAGGTCAGAGGGAAAGGATATATCTGAGTAGAATACATAACAGAGAGATTGCTGCTTAGCGATAGGCATTGCTATGTGGTGATTATAGGCTCTAGAATCATGATTCTTCTTAACATTTGTGCCACCACGCCAAATAATTGAGTGCAGCTTCAGCGTCTTGTTCATCACAGTGACCAATTCTCACTTACAGTCTCATTTATTTATGTATTCATTCATTCAACACTGAATTCTCACTTACACTCTCATTCATTTATTTATGTATTCATTCATTCAACACTGTGTGTGTGCGTGTGTGTGCGCATGTGCATACACACACACGCGCGCACAGGGTGGTTAAATCACACAGGCGAGCGCGCGTGTGCACACACACACGCGCACAGGGTGGTTAAATCACACAGGCGAGGACTTCTTGGTTAGTAGTTTTCAAAATATGTTTCGATACACATCGACTGGGATGTTGTTAAAAATCAGACTCCAATTCAGAAGGTCTGAGGCAGAGCCTAAGATTCTGATTCTCAACAAGCATCCCGGGAATACTCATGCTGTTGTTCTGGAAACTGCTCTTTGAATAGAAAACTTCTGAGCTATGAAGGGGAGGTTAAGTTTTTATTGCAGATATGAACTAAGCCATTAAAGAGTCCTGGACTTGGAATGACACAAAGGCTTTACATTTTCAAAAGCTTCCACAGGTTGCTGTATGTAAAAATCCCCACTGGGGAGAAAGCATGTAAGTAGGAAAACAGCCAGGAAGCTGCTTCAGGTAGGCAACAAATAAGGGTGGTTTGGAATAATATCAGCAGTGAAGGAGCTCATAAGCAATGCTCATGTTTGGTAAATAATTCATTGATGACTAGATATAGGATATGAAGAGTAATAAGGCTATTAGCTTACAGATGGAGCAAGAGGTGGTTTGTGGTTCCTGTTAGAAACATAAAGGAATCTGGAAGATGAACAGGGAGAATGGAGTGAAAGTCAAGGGTCTGGTTTCAGCTATGCTACTTTAAGATTACCTATTATAAAAACAAATAGGTGTATTACGTATAAGTTGGATATACATCAAGAGTTCAGGGTAGAGTGTTAGATGGTGATAGAAATTTTGAAGTCTTTGTATCTTAAAGCTGTGCCATTAAATGAGCTCATCTATTGAGTGAATACTAAAGAAGAGATCTGAGGTTGAGAAGAGGAAGAAAATCCTGCCAAAAGATTGATAAATTATTGTCCCTTGTGAGTTAGAGGGAAAAAAATGAAGAGCATGTGACACTCCAGAAGTCAAGTGAAGTGCTTTGGCACTGGTGAGGAGGATAATCAAATAAACAATACTGAGAGTTCAAATGAAATGAAACTAGGAATTGGCCAATGGGTTTACCAAGAGGTAGATGTTGCTGCTGATTTGACAAAGATGGTCTTGATGTAGTGATGAATTCTTGACAGCAATATAAGAAAGAGAGGATGAAAATGATAAAGTGGAGGCAGAGACAATAGACAACTTTTTCGATGACTTTTGCTCTAAAGAAGAGCAGAGATAATGGCCATAACCGAATGTTAAAGGTTTTGTATTTTAAGATAGGAGTTGTTGAAACATGTTTATGTCCTGATATGAATAATAGGTCAAGAGAAATCACTGGTTACACAGGGGGAGAGGCTGGGTGTGGAGAGGGAAGAGTGACAAAAGGAAAGGCAGAGGGAACCAGCAGTTAGCGTAATGGCTATGTCGCTGGACTCCCACGTAGTTGACCGTGGTTCGTGTCCCAGACCCGGTGGCTTAAAACTCACGCCGGGCACGTGTGCGTGCGTGCCCAAGATCCCGAGAGGAGAATGGAGGAGAAGGGATTGCGGCGTGACCATCCCCCCTGGGGGGTGATTTCTCGCTTTCTGTCTCTATGTCTCTCTCTGTCTGCCTGGCGAGCGCACGCGCCCTACAGTGAAAATCTCTCCAAAAAAAAAAAGGAAAAAGGAAAGGCAGAATATGCAAAGGGAGTTCAAAAAAGTTATGGCAAATGCAATTAAAAGACAAGTTTATTGTGGTTCACAAAAGTATTGAAATCTATGTGTAGGTTTTTCATAATACTTATTTTCCGTAAACTTTTTGAAGATCCTTTTGTGTATGGGTAAATATACATGTAGGTTGGTAGATATGGTAGTAGGAAGACAAAGCACTTTCATTCTGGTTTACTTCTACTTTTAAATCAAATAAGGACTATTAGGTGGCATGGAGGTTAGGGCAGCTGGATCCCGTATGGTCAACTGGATGGTTCAAGTCCTAGACCCAATGACTTGAAAATCACTGAGCACATGTGCATGCATGCCCCAAATACTAAGAAGAGAATAAAAGAGAAGGGATTTCAGTGTGGCCATTGCCCTTTTGGGCTGATTTCTCACTTTTTCTTTCTCTCTCTCTTCCTCCCTCTCTCTCTCTCTCCTCTCTCTGTCTCACTCCAGTGAGTGCACATGCCTTATAACAAAACTAAAATAAAAATAAATAAATAAATACAAAAGAATTGACTAACAATGAGAAATAAGAAAGGAATGTTAGAGATCAGAGTAGGGAAGAACTGATGTGAGTGATTACAATTATCCCAGACAGTATAAAAACATATTTAGTGGAATTTGCTTACGTTTCAAGGGCACCACCGAGGAACCATTTATGATGTGGTAATCCAGGTAATGTGTAGAATTTCCTCCAGTAACACTCATAGACTTAGTGAGGAAATGGCACAGCTGCTCAGGATAGATGCAAAGGAGAAATTGTAGTGATGAGCCATGGCATGAAAACTGAGTAAGAAGAAAGTTAGGTCTTGAGAAAGTGGTGAACCAATTCATTACCCAAATGGGACCAAAGAAGAATTGTTAAAGTAAGTGAATTGAAAAACAGAAGGTTCTTTGACTCTTTTGATAAATAAAACAGTATATAACATACCCCTAAACTCTCCTAAGGTGCTGAACAGTGTGATTTTTAACCATATGCACACAGCTTGAGCCACCATGAAAGCTTCTCAAAAGGCTTACTATACAATCCCTCTATAAATATAAGCAATGATTTTATTTACTTATAATTTCTTGAAAATACATCCATTGAGAAAAGCATTGTACATCATTTCAGCAACTATGTCCCTTTTTACATTAAAGTATTTTAAAATGTTTTAATGTACCACACAGAAAAGCAAAACATCATTCAAACCAAACCAGCTATTAGAGCAACATCCTTAAGTGCTATTTTGTCTCTCTGCATATTATAGTTTCACAGCAATATAAAAAAAAAAAAAGTATCACCAAATTTGGATACTAATACATTGCCAGGATAGTCTGAACAGCAAACAAATAGAATCTTGCAATAACATCTCACTTTTCAGAAAACAGTTAGGAGGGCAAAAAGTCCATAAAGTAAGGCACAAGGGTAGGCGATGAGCAGCTGCTGTCCTTCCATGTTCAAGGCTGAAATGAAGATCTTGGAAGCCGAAAGACTACACCAGCTAATGATGACCAGGGCTGCCACAGTTCCAAAGGTGCCCCTATGGCAAAGACAAAAGAGATAGCCTTACATCAGGAGAAAAAGAGGTTATTCGGAACTGCCTCAGAAGTCTCTTTGGCATAATATTTATAACTACTTTCTCCATTCATAAAATGAATCTGATGGGGCCAGACTGTAGCGGTGTGCTTAATGCAGCTTGATCCCATATGGTTGACTGCACAGTGCGAGCTGCAGACTTAACGAATTGAAATACACCCACTGTGATCCGGGCATCCTTTCCAGTGAAAAGCCTTGTCATATGGCAGTCTGCTTGCAGCTGGAAGGCTTTGTGGCAGAGACCCATGGCTTATCCTCTCCCCCATTTGCCTTTGAACTCTGAGGTGTGTTGCTTGGGACATTGAGAATACCTCATGTCCCTCCCTGCCTCATCCAGACATCCATTCCAGTCCACGGAGATGGAGATGCAGAGAGACTGTGGCTTGTCACCTGCCACATGGTTCTGAATTCTAAGACTAGTGTTTTCTGAAGCATGGTGTGTAATTCCTTCTATTTTTCTAAACTGAAGCTCAGCAGCTCAGTCTCAGGCACACCTGTTTGCTAGAAACTGCAAGGACTTTGAATCATCCAAGAGCAGTGACAACAGTGCAGGTTGCTGGTGAACACCAGGGAGTAGAGCAGCAGAGAGATGTCTGATAGCCTACTCCTGCATGCCTTTGAATGCGCAGAATTAACTTGAAAAATTTGGAAAGAAATGTATAAATCACCAAATGACTAGAAACTTCCACAGAGGCATAAGAAATATGAATAAACAAGAAAATATCTCTCCCCCAAGGGAAAACACCAATTCCTCATCATCCACAGACAACACAATGGAACTTGTGGAAATGTCAGATAAACAATTCAGAATATGTATAGTGACAAAACTAAATGAGATGCAAGAGAAAAGAGACAAGCTCCAGGAGATGAGGAAGTCCTTTCATGATTTGAAAGGAGAAATAGACACCATAAAAAAGAATCAAACAGAATTGTTAGAGATAAAAATTGTGATACCGGGAATTAAAATTTCCCTCGAAAGTATTAAAAGCAGATTAGATCATGTAGAAGATTGAATCTCAAATGTAGAAGACAAAACTTCTGACCTAGAAAAATGTATCAAAAAGTCAGAGAAAATAACCAAGAAAAATGAGGACAATATATGAAAAATACTAGATACTATTAAGCACCCAAACATTTGAATAATTGGTATCCTAAAAGGTAAAGAAAATAATAAAGGCATTGATAATTTATTCCATGAAATCCTGGAAGATAACTTTCAAAACCTAAAGATACATTCAAATATCTAGACCCAAGAAATACAAAGGACCACACATAGAATCAAGCCAAGAAGATCTTCTCCAAGACACATTGTAGCCAGGTTGACCAAAACCACAGACAAAGACAGGATACTAAAATTGGCAAGAGAAAAACGTCAAATTACTAACAAAGATTACCCCATCAGGATAACATTGGACCTTTAGTTGGAAACAATGCAAATAAGAAAGGAATAGGGAAATATAGTTAAAGTGCTAAATGAAAAACAATTTCAACCAACATTAATATACCCTGCAAGATTATCCTTCATATGGGAAAAAAAAAATAAAGACATTCTTACATAAATAAAACCTGAAAGAATTTATCAATTCCAGACCAGCTCTTCAAGAAGTTCTGAAGGGAGTTTGTTAAAACAGGAAAATTAAAGTCAGACAGACAGGAATAAGAGGAAACAAACAAACAAACAAGAAAATGGCTCACTTAATGATAGGAGCATGTTCAGAAATATTGGTAATAATGTTGAATGTTAATGGATTAAATTCTCTGATCAAGAGACTGGCTAAATGGAAAACAAACAAACAAACCAGAAATCCTCTATCTGCTGCCTACAAGAAATGCACCTTATGGATAAAGACAAACATAGACTAAAAGTGAAGGACTAGAAGAAGTTATCCATGCAAATGGGAATTTAAAAAAAGGGAGTTGTGATACTGATTTCAGGCAAAATAGGCTTTAAGATAAAACTGTAAGAAGAGACAAAGAAGAGCATTATATAGTCGTAAAAGGGCTATTTTACAAGAAGACATAATGCTTATAAACATCTATGCATCCAACTCAGGAGCACCTCAATACATGAAGGAAAGACTACTAGAGTTAAAAGAAGAGATAGGTTACAACACTATAATTTTTGGGTATCTCTCAACACCCCATTATTTCCTTTAGACATATCTTTACAACAAAAAATAAGCAAAGAGATGCAGGACATAAGTGATACTGTAACTCAAATGGATTTGACAGACTTCCATAGAACTTTCCACCCTAAGGCTACAAAATATACATTTTTCTCACCCCTGCATGGAACTTTTTCAAAGACTGACCCATGTGATAGGGCACAAATCAAGCCTTTACATATTCAAAGACGTAGACATGATATCTGGAATCTTCTCTGACCATGATGGAATTAAACTTGATATTAATTTCAGGAAAAATCTTGGAAAATACACAAACACATGGAAACTAAACAACCTCCTTCTGAATGATTTGCAACTACCAAAAAATTAAGTCTTAAATCCAAAGATTTACTGAAACAAATGATAATGAATACAGGAGTTTTCATAATCTATGGGATACCGCAAAAGCGGTCATAAGAGAGAAATTCATAGCAATTAGTGTGCCTAAGAAAAAGAATGGAAAGGTGGCAAAAGACAACCTAACATCATGCCTCAGGGAATTGGAAAAAAAATGTCAAGAGAAAAATAATAAAGATTCTAGCAGAAATAAATGAAATAGAAAACTATACAGAAAATAAATGAAAGGAATGAAAGGAAAAGCTAGTTCTTTGAGAAGATTAAAAAGAGCAACACCTGTAAACTAGACTGATTAAGAAGAAAGAAACCAGGTAAATCAAATATGTAATTAAATAGGCAATATTAGAGCAGACACAATAGAAACACAAAACATCATTAGCAGATACTTTGAGTGACTATATGCCAACAAACAAGGAGGAGATGTCAAAAGCTTTGGCCCGTTAGAAAATTTTCAAGTCCAATTTACCACTTTATATGTCAGTAAAGTTTGATTTAATAAAAACAAGAAATCATTTATAGTCACTCTTACCTGTCAACATTCAATGCCCAACTCCTAAAACTCTCTTATACACTAAGTTTAGCCCTTCTTTATCATGCCTTTTTTTCAATTAAAAATTCTTTATTTCAGGGGACCGGCAGTTAGCATAATGGCTATGTCACTGAACTCCCACGTAGTTGACCATGGTTCGAGTCCCGGACCCAGTGGCTGAAACTCACGCCGGGTGCGTGTGCGTGCGTGCCCAAGATCCTGAGAGAAGAACGGAGGAGAAGGGATTGCAGTGTGGCTATGTCCCCTGGGGGGTAATTTCTTGCTTTCTGTCTCTCTGTCTCTCTCTGTCTGGCGAGCGCACGTGCCCTATAGCAAAAAAACTCTCAAAAAAAATTCTTTATTTCATGATAAAAGAAAGAAGGAAGGAAGCAGAAAAAGAGACAAATACCTTTGCTACACCACAATTCTCCCTATGCTTTCCAGCATCCCAGAATCATGAGTGCACCTGGAATATTCAGGTCACCCAGGGATCCTAATCATGGCTGCCATCTAGCTCCAGTATCACATCACAGTGTCCCACCCCCTGTACCACTGTGGCCGGGCCTTCCTTTTCTCACAGCAGATTTCCTTCCTCTTCCCTGCTTTGTTCATAAATTAACCCACAGTATAAGAGGGAAGACAGACAGAGTTACATTCCAAGAGGGTGACTAGTCCTGCTATTCCCATGTCTACTTCCCAGGTTTTCTCCTCAGATAGCAAAGGTCAACACCACTCAAGAAGAGAACATGGGGAATAGGAAAGCACAGGCACGTGTGGCCTCCCACCTCATCTCTGAAAATTCACTTTGTACATGGATATGTGGGTTCTTTAGACGACTGGGATGGATTTGTTCCAATTAGTATTTTCAACAATATTGGGTCATCTGAAAAGTCATGAAGCATTTCTACATAGAAAAACAAAAATACTGCCTGACTTTTCTGACAACCCAGTGGCTTGAAAGCCATGCTTCACACATGTCGTGAGTGCTCAAAATCCCAAGAGGAGAGGGAGGGAAAGGGATTGTGGTCCAGACATCCTCCCCCAGTCCTGGGAGTGATTTCTTACTTTCCCTATCTTTCTCTGCTTCTGTTTCTTTCTTTCTGTCTCTGTCTTTTTCTTTGTCTCTGGTCTGCCACATGCCCTATGGCAAACCAAAACAAAAATTAACTACGGAAGCAACTGGTTCAATAAGAACAAATAATTAAATAAGGGATTAAAGAGGGAAGGAATAAACAGGAGATAAAGAGTAAATTCAGTATAGCTTTTACTGTCCTAGATTATTAATAAACCGAAATTATTTTAGAATCACCTAATGAATACTGTATTTACTGATTTAATTCATACATACTAGAAACAGTATCTAGAATGATTTAATGTACAGATTTTTGTGGACACAAATGTAAAATGATACAGGATTAATTTACATGACATAGCAATATGCCTTAAAAGGCAATTTTAGTTTCATGATCTTAGGGATAGCTTAGTCATTATTTCAAAATCATTCTTTATAATTTCAGAACAAAAATCTAATAAGAAATTCTAGACTTAAGATGATGCCCCAAATCTAAAATTTTACTTTTTATTTTCTTCTCCAAATCTCAATTTTTGCTGAAAATATGCTTAATACTTAGAATTTTAAGTGGTGGATCATAATATTATTCTTTTGCAAAAGCATCTGCAAAGTAAAACTATAGAACTGAGTTTTATACTAACATGTCAAATGTCTGTATTAAACAACACAGTAAGGGGAACAGCTTGATAACGCAGCATTTGAAATGTGAAATTTTTCCATGGGTATAAATATACCTGTAACTAACATATATCTATACCTTCAAAGATTCATTATCCATTATATTCTTCTTTTCTAAATGTTAGGTACTTACTGAAGTGAGAGTTTACTGTAATTCTCAAAAATACTTAGTTTAAAAATGTTTCCATAAGGGACCAGCAGTTAGCGTAATGGCTATGTCGCTGGACTCCCACGTAGTCGACCGCGGTTTGAGTCCCGGACCCGGTGGTTTAACCTCACGCCGGGCATGTGTGCGTGCGTGCCCAAGATCCCAAGAGGAGAATGGAGAAGAAGGGATTGCAGCGTGGCCATCCCCTCTGGGGGGTGATTTCTCGCTTTCTATCTCTCTGTCTCTCTCTGTCTGTCTGGCGAGCACATGCGCCCTATAGCAAAAACCTCTCCAAAAAAAAGAAAAAAAAAAGTTTCCATAAAAACAGAAAGTATCAGTAAGTCATTCTCAGTAATGAGAAACATTATTTGCTATAGTGTTAAAAATATTTAAGACTTCTCTTAGATGCTAATTCTCTTCAGTGGTAAATTCTTCAGATAATATTCTATCCAATGTAGCATTAGTAACCTAAAACTTGGGTCATCTGAGAAGAAAATGCAAACCATGTCTGTTTGGATATAGAAGAAAGAGCACTGATGGCAAATATTTATTTCCAGGTGAGCTTGAGCATGGCAAGAAACTATGTAATCATTTGCTCTCCTCACCAAAGGGGCCCTGATACGCATTTGCCCCGGAAAGTGCTGGATAGAAAATGTATCAACCGTATCCTCATTAACGATGGTGAATTGCAAATACTAACTGCCTAAGAGAAGGGAAGGAAAGGGAGAGAATGTCTCTACTGAAGATACACGCTAGAAAATGCTCCAGCATTAACATCCTCTCATCAGGATTCCTGGGAATTCTGCCTGCAAGGAGCCCAGCCGAGAAAGCACGGTTGCTTTTGGCCTAAAAGGCAGCATGCCTGGGAGTTGAAGCCATTGGTCAGGGCTCACAGGGCCCTTCCTTTTCCCAAATCAAACAAGTGCATTTTCTGCATTTGTTCTATTCACCCTGGCAATAGTTCAGTTGAAGTTAACTTGGCATCATTTAGTTTTTAAATCATCAAAACAGGAATAGCATTTAACTGAAACCGACCTGCTTTTCTGAATCTGTCTGCAGCTTTGCATAACCATGGTTTTCCCAATTCCATGGCCAATACAATTAGAGATGGCATAATCGTGCACTGGTGTGGCACGTCTGGACAGCGACTGCACACACAGGGTTGGCTGGAGAACACAGACACTTACTGCAATGAAAAAAAGATGGCGCAGCTTGACAGGAGGACCATGGGGAGCAGGCAATAACCCAGCACACTGGCCACGCAGCCACATGACACCCCAGAAGAGCTCATTACGTTGAGCAAGGCGTGAATCCCAAGGCAGCCGAGGGCACTCATTCCATACACGTAACCGAACTGAACTTTCCCTGCCTGCAAGAGGTCAAGAAAATGGTGGTGTGAATGCTCAATGAACATCTACATGGGCTGGCCAGTATTCGAGACCTGGACCTGGTAGTTTGCTTTCTCACTTTCTCTCTGTGTATGTGTGTCTCTCTCGTCAAATTAAAATAAATAAATGAATAAAAATTAAATAATTCTTTAAAAAAAGGGAGGGCGGGGGAGAGTTCTGGAATAAAACACTGCCTACACTGTGGATCCTGAACACAGACTAGACTATATCTGAGATGCAGCAAGCATGCAACAAAAAAGATGAAATATTACTGGGTTTATATATTTTTTATCACGACTTGTCCATTAGAAGTACAAGGGATAAATAGGACTATGTGTGTGGGCTAATTGAATGAGTAAAGGAATAAAACATCTACTTTAGACCGGGAAGAAATGTTCACATATTGAAATGATCGCCTTGTAAGCTAAATAATGTGATTTAATGTATTAACAAAAGCAAATAAAAAAATTGATTTAGAAAAAAAAATCCAGTTTAATCTTTAAGATTTAAAAGACATATTACTGGGTTATCAGAAAAGTCATGATGCATTTTTACATAGATTAAAATACGTCAAGACTTTTCTGACAACACAATAGTAAGATTAGCAGACACTGAGGGGATTTACTATGTCAGGTGCTATTTTTTCCTCTTAATTTTACTATAGAGCACATGCACTTGCAGGAGAGAGAGAGGGAAAATGAGAAACCACCTGCTTTCTGCCTGCCACCTGTGCGGGAGTATGGCCACACCGCAATCTTTTCACTTCCATTTCTCTTCTTGGAGTTTTGGGCATGCACACACATGTGTCTTGTGTGTTTTCCAAGCTGCCAAGTCCAGGATTCAAACCATGCCGTCAGCCATGTGGGATCTGGCTGCTTTAATTACCACACTATTGGCTGGCCTGTGAGGTCCTATTCTACAGTAGCCTACAAGTATTTATTTAAAACTCAGAATGACCATATAAGATAGATACCATTATAATACCAACTCTATACATGAAGAAATTGAGGTGCATAGAGGTTAAATACCTCGCCCAAGGTAATATAATGATAAGTAGTGGAGGTTGGCCTTGAACCCAGTCAGTCTAACTCTAAATTTAGCCTTTAACATACACAGGAACAGTGACAAGTCCCAGAATTATAGGACTTATTGAACCACATTTAACGCAGTATACACTGAACTTTTTGACCACAGAATCCTTTTGTTTTTCATGTCTATTACCACATTGACCAACCCCACCTTATGAAAAGTGGATCTACAAAAGTCATCTGGTCAGAAATCATCAAAGGAGCACTGTTCAAGGAAGATAGTCCTGTTCAGGGTATGCTGTCAATCTTCTGAGGACTCTAAAAACAGCAATCACCCACGGGCACTAAGGACTGAGAGTCTCAATAAATTCATCCTGGGAGAGTCTTTCTTTCTTTACTTCTTAAGTGAGAGAGAGAGGGAAGGAGGAAGAGAGAGAGAGTTTGCTAACAGGGTCAGTATACTGCAACCTACGCCCATCTTCAGCTGGCCCCAATCATGGGCAGGCATGTGTCTGACATACTCAGGAAGGACTCTAGGCAGGAACCTAGAACTTTCCATGTGGGTCAGTCTCTCAGAGCACTGCATGTTAACACTGGCTGGCCCCACAACCTACTATAATCCAATAGGAGTATTTCAGTATTTGGTACCTGAGAATGCTGAAGCTCTGGGAAAGTATGCGTTCAGGTTGTTTTACGTACAGTTAGCTAATGAAAACTTCTAGATTGGGCCAACAAGTGGCATGGAGGTTAAGATGCTGAATCCTCCATGGCTGACGGTGTGGTCTGAATCCTGGACCTAGTGGCTTGAAAATCACACCGCACACATGTGGGTGTGTGTCCAAAATCTCAAGAAGAGAGTGGAGGAGAAGGGATTGTGATGTAGCTTTCTAACCTCCCCTGTCCCCTGCTCAGCTTTTTTATCTCTGTCTGGAGAGTGCACACTCCTATAGCAAAAACAAAAATCTTCTAGATACAGGGTGAATAGGTTGATTCTGGTTTTCATAGGATTGCACAAGAACAATAAAGGATCTGATAAATTCTTCCAGACAGATCATGTGTGTGTGTGTGTGTGCGTGTGTGTGTGTGTGTTAAGCTTAGTTTTAATACTCTGCTTTCGTTAACTTTCCCTAAGAGAAGGGAAGGAAAGGGAGAGAATGTCTCTACTGAAGATACACGCTAGAAAATGCTCCAGCATTAACATCCTCTCATCAGGATTCCTGGGAATTCTGCCTGCAAGGAGCCCAGCCGAGAAAGCACGGTTGCTTTTGGCCTAAAAGGCAGCATGCCTGGGAGTTGAAGCCATTGGTCAGGGCTCACAGGGCCCTTCCTTTTCCCAAATCAAACAAGTGCATTTTCTGCATTTGTTCTATTCACCCTGGCAATAGTTCAGTTGAAGTTAACTTGGCATCATTTAGTTTTTAAATCATCAAAACAGGAATAGCATTTAACTGAAACCGACCTGCTTTTCTGAATCTGTCTGCAGCTTTGCATAACCATGGTTTTCCCAATTCCATGGCCAATACAATTAGAGATGGCATAATCGTGCACTGGTGTGGCACGTCTGGACAGCGACTGCACACACAGGGTTGGCTGGAGAACACAGACACTTACTGCAATGAAAAAAAGATGGCGCAGCTTGACAGGAGGACCATGGGGAGCAGGCAATAACCCAGCACACTGGCCACGCAGCCACATGACACCCCAGAAGAGCTCATTACGTTGAGCAAGGCGTGAATCCCAAGGCAGCCGAGGGCACTCATTCCATACACGTAACCGAACTGAACTTTCCCTGCCTGCAAGAGGTCAAGAAAATGGTGGTGTGAATGCTCAATGAACATCAGCAGGA